CAGGTGATCATGTATTGTGTTATATTATATTTCTGGAAAATTTAAGAGGTAGTTATATAATAATTTTGGACGATCTCAGGCGGTCAAATACTTATAACCGCTACTGTATGATTAACAACTATTAGAACAGTAGAAAGAAATGAAATAGAATGCCAGAATAGATACTAAGATTATATTCATTGGATCTATAATTGCAAGAATATGGAATGTCTAAAGATAGGTTACAAGGTCTTTACAAATACTAGTATAAGTTTCAAAATATTTTCAATGTCAGTCCATTTTAAACAATATGATTTGATTATTAATATCATTTTTTTACATTCAATTTATAATCATTTACCTTTATCAATATAATTCTATATTTTGTTCTTGTTTTTCTTTAAATTTATTTGATCTTTAAATAATAAAATCATTATCATCCTTTGAAATTATAATATCATTAAATCTCTACAGCTAAGCTTTTTATTTATATTATATTATTATTTTTGATAAGATGTTTTTACTTGATTCGATATTCAGAATCAAATATGCTAATTTATAAATTTGATATTTTTTTACTAAGATTTTGCCTTTAATAATACTCTAATTTATTTCATTACTTGAAATATAAAAGTTAGTTTTCACATGATCCTATAAAAAATGAATAATTTATTTATTAATGGTTGAACTAATTTAGATTTTAAAAGTTAGAGTTTAATAATTAGAGTTTTCATCAAAGAATTACATATAGGTACCTAGAAGTTATTTTGAGTTGCTCTAGTATTTGAACTTCTCTGACGATATCACTTATACCCTTTTATAAAACTAGAAGTCACCCTATATAATATAAAATTCCTATGGAAGAAATGGTCAGAATATTCTCTTTTAGACTACTTGGAGTTGAGCTATGACATAGATTTTCAAATGCCTTTTGAGAAGTAGAACTAATTGAAACTGGTGAATGTCTTATAACTTAGTAAGCGATATAATTACTAATTGACAAGTTTTCATTGCATTTTATTTTTTCATTTTCTCTATCCCAATAATGGTTTTCATGTCATCAAATCGATTGACAAAAAATAATCTAGAGATGTCCCGTTTAAAGAAAGCACTTCAAAAGAGAACATGTCCATTACAATATTGAATGTAATTTTAATTCCTTGATTTTATGCTCTTATTATTTCAGAATTCGAATGATTTCTATATCTTAAACTATTGACCTTTCAATATAACCGTTTTTTTCCTTAAAAAGTCACATTATATCCTTTTAGTGTTAATTTAGTATTAACAATTAAAAAAAAGTAATCAAGAAGTTTATTAATTAAATTCATATAAATTTTCTGCAAACTTACAGAACATATAAATGTCATATTTTTGAGAATCGTGTTACTAAATCCTAATACCTTAAATATTTCGCTTTAATTTTTTAAATGCACCACAACCAGATTTGCGGTATTAATTACCTTTATTTGTCATCTTTCTCCTTATGTCTTTTGATTATAGTCTTGATAACTTAAAAATGTTTCTAAGTTCATATAAATCACAGCATACCATATTTGCTTGTGATGGAATGGATAATTATTCATCATTTGAACAATATTCGATTAATGAACTTTGTGGTTTATTAACTTCATAAACTTTGTATACATGGTATCTTTCTATATGGATAAAATTAGAATCGGTATTTTTAAATTAATTCGACTCCTTTATAAATATTTTTCATTACCTTCAAATTCATGCATTATCTCGGATTAATTTTAGGATTGTGGTTCCAGTTCATGCCCCCCCCCCCCAGTCAAAATTTGCGATAAAAGATTCTTGTTATTGGGGAAATCGCATATTGTACGGTAATAAATACAAACAATGAGTAAAATGAGTGATTGTTAATATTAAGTCAATCATTTTACAAGACCTATTAATATAATTAATATAAATTCCGATTTCAAACATCCCAAGATTTCACTTGTAGTATAGGCGCATAATTAGACGGTGGATATTGGACAGAACTTGCGATAGTACATCATGGAAATAAGTCATCTTCCATATTCATTCAGAAATTTTAGCATTTAATTATTCATGGCTAGCGTTTGGTTCGTCAATTAGTTACCAAAAACTTCTAAATCTCTGTTAATATGTTATTGTACAAGTACGCGCGTTAATAATTAAATATTTGAACAATTAAATGCAAAGCTACTTATTCTAATTTTCATTTAAATTGTTATTCTTCCATCATTATCGAGACCGATAACCTTCAGATATACAAATCTATTTAGGATGACTTATGAAATTTACTGTGCTAATGGTATTTGCGCGATTTTTAAATTAATTAAAATATTGGTTTTACGTCATTTCTCAAATTATTTTTCGTTTGATTTTGAGTGAGCAATTTTAACATAGACCAGGGAACGGAAACCGTTCTGGTCTAATTTCGATAACATGGCTAATAATTAAATAAAGCTATTTTATGTAACAAACTAATCCACAAATTTCATTCGTCGATCAGGCTATAGAACAGAACGACATTGCATTAGAAATGCTTAGAAGTATATTATTCGATACATGCAAAAGTAATTCAAACGTAACATGTGTCACAAATATCACGCGCTACATGATAATTGCCGCAGTGTGAGGTAATCTGAGGCGCAGTAGGATTTTCGATTATCGTTTAAATCTCAAATCCAGGAAAGCTATTGCGTTAAATTTAGGTAACACTGATAATCGGTGGCTTAGAAGCTTAACGTTACATGATTTACCAAGTGCATTTTTTTTTTTTTTAACGAATTTTTATCATCAAAAATTAAAAAAAAATAAAATGCAAGAAGACAATAATTCAAATGACTGGATTAATTTGATAGAGGAATATATTTTAAGAAATAAAATCAAATGCTACGAATACGAACATTTTAGCAATATTCAAGAGATCGGTACTGGCAGCTTTGGAAAAGTCTATCGTGCAAATTGGAAAAGTTTAAGGCAGCCTCTCGCGTTAAAATCCTTTCATAACCTTAACAATGACACTGTTAAAGAAATAGTTCGTGAGGTAATTACAAATGTTAAAATGTATTTCAGTCTATTTCAATCTTTTTAATATAAATCATTTATATATCAAACTAAAATTAATTTTTTAGCTCGAACTTCAAAGCGAAGTCGATTTTCATGATAATATTATTCGCTTTTTAGGGATAACTTCAAAACAAAGTATGTAATGTTCATAATAAATCTTATTAAATATATATATTGCTATTTTTATATTCATTTATATTTATTTTAAATTTTTAAAAATTTAAAAAAAAATTTTAGAAAATGATGTTAATTTGAAAAAGTATTGGTTAGTAATGGAATATGCTGATGGCGGGTCACTTAGAACCTATTTGAAGAATAATTTTAATAGGCTTAGTTGGGATGATAAATACAACTTTGCAATGCAGTTGGCTAGTGCTGTGTCGTGTATTCATGAAGAAGGAATTATACATCGTGATTTGGTAACCTTTATCTATATCTTAATTTATTTATGATTTATTAATAATTAATAAATAATTTTTTATAATTTTATTATAGCATTCTGACAATATTTTAATTCATCATGGTATTATAAAACTCGCTGATTTTGGATTATCGAAAAGGATTGAAGCGGCATCTAAACAACAGTCAAAAGTTTTTGGTGTAATTCCTTATGTTGATCCAAAAAGATTTGGTAGACGAAATAGAATTGACATTACATCACAGAAAGTTAATCTAACTGAGAAGAGTGATGTTTATAGTGTTGGCGTATTGTTATGGGAGATATCAAGTGGTCGACCTCCATTTTATGTTGAAGGTGAACCATATGATATTGATTTAGCTATTGATATTTTACAAGGACTCAGAGAAAGTATCATTCCGGGTACGCCTGAAGATTATGTAAAAATTTATACTGGTAAAGACTATTATAAATTATAAATTATAAATTATAAATTTAAATATAATATTTTCAGACACTAAATTATTTATTTATGGTTTTAGAATGCTGGGACAGCGAGCCAGACAATCGTCCGTCTATTAACAAAGTGGTTGATGAATTAAATGCAATTATTAAAAAAGAGAATATAGAGTATGATCAAATTAAGAATAAAGAATCAAACCTTCAATCATCAGAACAAAAAATTTATTCTAGTATGAATAATTCATTACATGGGGACTTATCTCAATTGATTCAAAACTTTAATCAAATGAATGTAGAAGTAAGGTCGAATAATGAAAAATCCGTCATCATTTACGATGATATTATTGAAAGCTTAACGATTACGGATCTTAACAAGGATATATTAAACGCCTTTGGAGGATTGCAAAGATATCGAAAATTAAAAGTACTCTACTGTAATAACACCCAGATAACCAGCTTAACAACCTTACCCGACTCCTTAAAGGAACTCGATTGTAGTAATATTCCAATAAATAGCTTACCAATTTTACCCGACTCCTTAACAATTCTTAAATGTAATAATACACCAATAAATAGCTTACCAACTTTACCCGACTCCTTAACAATTCTTAAGTGTAATAATACACCAATAAATAGCTTACCAACTTTACCCGACTCCTTAACAAAACTCTATTGTAGTAATACTCCAATAAATAGCTTACCAACTTTACCCGACTCCTTAAAAATACTTTTTTGTATTAATACTCCAATAAATAGCTTACCAACCTTACCCAACTCCTTAACAATACTCGTTTGTAATAATACTAAATTAAATAGTTTACCAACTTTACCCGACTCCTTAACGAAACTCAATTGTAGTAATACACAAATTAATAGCTTACCAACTTTACCCGACTCCTTAACGGAACTTTATTGCTATCAAATTCAAATAAATAGCTTACCAATTTTACCCGACTCCTTAACATTACTCATTTGTAGTAATACACAAATAAATAGCTTACCGACTTTACCTGACTCCTTAACAATACTCGATTGTAGTAATACTCAAATAAATAGCTTACCAACTTTACCCGACTCCTTAACAATATTCGATTGTAGTAATACACAAATAAATAGCTTACCTACATTACCAAACTCCTTAAAAATACTCTATTGCGATAATACTCAAATAAATAGCTTATCAACTTTACCCGACTCCTTAACGGAACTCGATTGTAGTAATATTCCAATAAATAGCTTACCAACTTTACCCGACTCCTTAACGGAACTCTATTGCTATGAAACTCAAATAAAAAGCTTACCAACTTTACCCGACTCCTTAACAATATTCGATTGTAGTAATACACAAATAAACAGCTTACCTACATTACCAAACTCCTTAACAATACTCTATTGCGATAATACGCAAATAAATAGCTTATCAACTTTACCCGACTCCTTAACGGAACTCGATTGTAGTTATATTCCAATAAATAGCTTACCAACTTTACCCTCCTTAACGGAACTCTATTGCAATAATACTAAATTAAATAGCTTACCAACTTTACCCGACTCCTTAATAAAACTCTGGTGTTTTGATACACAAATTAGTAGTTTACCAAATTTACCCGATTCATTAATAGAGCTTAAATATTAAAGAATTTTTATCATTCTTCTATTTTTAAATTATTTTTCAGCAATATTTATATGCGTTTAATGTATTGTTTCAAAGTAGACATTCATTTTCGTTCTCTTCATTAAATTTAACCCAAATCCTATATTTTTAAGAGTATTAATGCATAAAATACACCCGTATTTTTATATTGATTGCATGTATTAATCATCATATTATAACATATTTTAGAGAATATCAACTTTTATTTATTGGTTGAAGACAATAAAGATAAAATTATTGAAAAGTTGTGGAAATTATTATAAAATATAATAAAAATAATTTATACATATTAAGAAAATTGAATTTCACTATCTATTGCAATTTAGATAAATTTATGTAAATACCCAAGGATAGGTAAGGTTGTTAAGTTTCATATTTTATTAATATTGAAAACTTAAAAAAATCAAATTAGATAATTCATATTAAATGCACAGATAGAATAAATCATTATCAAACCTAGCTGAATACAATGAATTTTCTTTTAGTTTGGTAGTTAAGAAAAACTTTGGTGTAGCAATATTGATAAGGCCCTATAAATAAAAGAAGAAATGCTTTATATTATATAATTATTAAAGGATATATTATAAAAAATTGTTATTGAATATTCCAGAATCAGAAAAGTTATTTAGATAAAATTAAACGTATTTGTAAAATTGATACATAATCAAAAAAAAATAAAACCTGTCCAAAAAATTCATATAAATAGATAAAATGAAGCTAATTATAAAAAACAAAATAAAAATAAAAATAAAAAAAGCAAACACAATTTATGAAAATATTATATGGGAGGTTTGCTATTAAAATTGAATTATATATAAAGTAAATCATATAATCTGTAATGTGATTTTAATAGCTTACCTCACATATAATCTATTTTGCAATCTATAATTCTATTAATATTCTATGATTAAGTGTTGTCCAGTTAAAGTTAAACTATTGGAAGGAAGAATTAAATAAAAAAACAAAATAAAATAAAATAGAGCAAATCTAATTCATAAAAAATTCCTATAAGCTTGTCTATAATACTTCTATTGATTATTCCATGATCAAGTGCATTTAGTTAAAATTAAACGCATTAGTAATATTAGACACAAAAAAAAATAAAAAAAACTAAAAAAAATAGCAACTAAGAGTTTTGTCCAAACTAAAAGAAAAAAAAATTAAAAAGAGCAAAACAGTTCATAGAAAATTAATAACTCCATGATTTTTCTGATTATTTTTCATACAAGAATATTGTAGTCTAATCCAAAGAAATGTTATTTAAGTACTTCTATTATGTAATAATATAATTCCATTAAATATTCATAATCAAGAGCGTTATCCAGTTAAAATCGAGTGATCAATAAAGTTAAACATTAATACCATATGAAGTCAATCCTACTGCGTCACAAAGATTGATGAATGATCAACGTTATTAATATCATTAGCATTTTTAACTTAGTCAACATTTTTATTTTATTTATTTTATTCTTATATTTTATTATTATTATTTATTATATTATTAATATCGTTAAATTATAATTTATCTTTTATATTTATCTTAGCATTATAAAATAGTTTAGCATTAGATAATAAATTTTTATAATTATATTTTTGTATAAATAGGATAGAAATTTGTCCTTGTAAAAGGGCAAAGATAACAGTGTAAACTCAATAGTTCAAGTTTAAGACTTAGAATCTAAGGTTAAGGATTGCTAAGCATACAAATCTTTACAATAAAGGAATCTCTTTCTAAACTACACATATTAAAAATCCTTTAACGTGTTAATTGTATTTATTGTGTTTACAAATTATTAAAGTTATTTACTCATCTAAAAGTATAAACCTAAGGTTGATTGTAATAGGACTTATTCCATAGTAATTTAGTAGTTTCTCGGACATTACTTCCTGTTATTAAATTATAGTTACCCTAAGTTTGACAGGCTGAGCGTAAGGTTAACACTATATATCTTTAATTTCATAAAATATATTCAACAATAGAAGTTTAAAATTTATTTACAGTGCTTATTTATATTTTAGCAGTGTTAACGTTACTCTTTTCATCAAATAAATTAACTATGATTTGAAGTCAGGGAGGCAATAGCTATGACTTAAATCCAATCAACTTGACATACTGTTTATTAGAGTTTATTTAGTTAACGAGAAATAAATTATAAGTTTTATATTTGCAAAATGTTAAGAGTGATTATTATTGTTATTAAATGTATTTTAAATACAATGTTAAGAACTTATTGGAATCTGTTTGGAATCTGTCCTTTTTCTAAGGCATTTTCATGTCCTTTATATAAGAAAATTACAATTAAAGAAAATCTATGATAAATATGATACTATCGATAATAATAACAGAGCTAATAGATATGCTAATTATATTAGATATGATATAAATGATAGAAATATAATAAATAATATGTGTGTCCTATTTGGCAGATTTAACAGATTTGTCTTATGTGACTATTCTGTCAGTTTCTGCTGGTTTCAGCAGATAAAGAAAAAAAAGTTTCTTTTTTTCTTTCTTTTTCTAATTTGACAAATAATAAACAAGAAAAAAGTATAAGAGAAATTTAAAAAGGAACGTCTTAAGTTAATTAATTTCTAAATCTTTTCAAATAAAGTTTTTACTAATCAACTATTAATAAAAAGCGAATAATAAAAATAATAATGTATTAATAATTAAAGCCAGATCAAATCATATTGATTTTTTTGTTTGTGAGAAAGGACTTCAAAATGTTTAATTGGAGAAGCTCATTTTCAAATTTAGCAGTAACTTTATCATTATTTATGCTTAAAGTTAAAGTAATTTTACAATTAAAGGGTCCATCATATCTAAAGATTGACTGGTGTTAGACTTGAAATCATCTCAAACCAAGCTAATAAATCAAATAAACTTAATATCACAATTATCTCAAAGACATTTTCTAAAAGAAATTAACGATTAACAAATAAAATAATTTATTATCATGATTTACTTATATAGTAGGTTATCACGATCAATTCTATAATAGAGATAAGAAGAAGGTTGAAAGTGTAAAATAGTAACTTTATTAATCTGTAGAATTATAAGTTTAGTCCTAAAACGTATCTTAATCTTTAAGCAAAAACTCTGTCAACTCAAGGTCAACTTACAGGTCTATTTATATAAAATTGCTAACTAATACTATACTATACTTTTTGATAAGTATAAATGATACATATAAAACTAGATAATATAATATAAATAATAAAAAGAAGACTATATAATATTTGTATTAAAAAGTAACTATTTAATATATGTATTATAAAGTTAATCAAATAATATATGTATTATATGTTTAACATGTATCACTTTTATGATTTTCAGTGCAGTTGAAGATCATCTAAAGCATAGTATAACTTGTGACTAATACTAGTTAATAATTTTTTTTAACTGATAAAATAGATGAGTTTAATTTTGGTCAAAATTCAATTTTCAGCCAGAATTAAGATTTTTAAATTTGCAAAATTATTGTCTAACTCCAGTCAAATTTATAGTTTAGTTTTAGTTAATTTAACCAGTTAAAGAATTTTTGGCTGGATCTAGCCTCTAATCATAATGCTCTTTAATTTTGTATTGAACCACCTGAAAATTAAGCCTCTATAAGCTGACAGAAGTGACAAGTTGATTATTAAATATATTAATTTCTTTTTTTTTAAAACATTTGATGTAAATATAAAAAAAAAAATTTATTTTGACAAATATGCATACCAGTAACTCCATATTTATGATAAAACTATTTTTTATCACGTAAAAGTCTGTTATAGGTATCCAAGTTGATTTTATAATTTTAATATTTTTATTTTCATCTGTGACAGTTACCAGCTTTTTAATAAAATAATGATGATTTTATTGCATAAATATTACTAAAAGCTTTTAAGTATTTACTTGAACTCTGAATGAAACTACATCTTCAAAAACTGAGATACATATTAACCTGAGTAGTACCAACTTGAGTAGTATCAACCTGAGTAGTATCAACTTGAGTAATAGTAAATACCTAATAAACTTGATGGAAAGAACCTCTTTTAGTACAACAGGAAAACCTTCGTACACAATTATATTTTCACCTTGATGACATTGATAATGCATCCCTTTCCCCTCTAATTAAATCAATCATTAATATATAATATAAAGAATTAAGTGAAAGCGAAAGTGTTTACAGTGTGATAAATAGCTTAAATTCTTAAAACATAGAAGAATAATAATATAATCAACTATTTAATTATTTAACTAACCAAACATACCCACTATCTTTAATTAAATACAATAACACAAATTAAATGTATTATCAAAATATTATATTATCAAACATAATTTACTATATAAAATTAACAAAAATAACCCAAGCAATCCAATTAGAGTACTCAAGAAAACAGAACTGAAACCTGCACTTTACATGTTCCACAATGACCCAACTGCCGCTTATAGTTCAAAAGAAAAGATGATGAAGAAAATTAGAAAACGTTTTTATTGGCCTCAAATGTTTGAAGATATCAAGAATTATGCACAATCATATGACTCTTGTCAGAAAAGAGGAAGAGTCTCAAGAATAGAACCTCTACACCCTATACCTATTAGGCAATATTTTCATCATATTGGAATAGATTACATCAGACTTTTACCAGTTTCAAGTAAAGAAATAAGTATATAATTGTTGCTATAGACTATTTAACCAAGTGGCCAAAATCTAAGCCTGTAAGGCATAATGATGCTAAAACAACTGTACAATTCGTGTATGAAGATATAATTTGCTGACATAGATATCTTGGAGAAATACTCACTGATCGTGATACCCATTTTAACAATCAATTATTACATGAATTACTACAAAAATTTGAAATATCTCAAAGAATGTCAATGCCATATCATCCACAGACTAATGGATTAGTTGAAAGGTTCAATAGAACTTTAATAGAAAACCTTGCATAAACTGCTACTAATCATCAAAAGGATTGGGATCATTTCATTACCCCTGCACCTTTTGCTTATTGCATAAATGAACATTTTGTTACAAAAATATCGCCCTTTTTCCTTGTATATAGATGAGAAGCTAAATTACTAATGGATAGTACAGAAATAGGGGAGGAATCCCTCTTGCTCAACCATGTAGAAAAATAATTAGATCAGCTGCCAATTATTCGTAATATAGTTCAACAAAATTTGCAAAAAGAACAACACAAACAGAAAGATCGACATGATGAAAAATTAAAGAAAATTGTGTCATACCAAATAGGCGATCTAGTTTTGTATTACAAGCAATGTTAGATAAGCAGTGGTCTGGAAAATTAGACCCAAAGTGAAAAGGACTATATTATATACATGACATAATTGGAAATAGCATTTATAAGATTAGGGAATTAAACAGAAAAGTTTTAAAAACCCCTGTGAATAGAAGTTTATTAAAAATTTATATAAATAGAGTGGATATTGATTGAACTTCACACCTTTTCCTCAAATTTAAAAATGGAACTATATAATCAAATCTTAGTAGACTTGCAACAAACTGAACCACTTTATCCAGATATTCTATTTCCTTTTTATCAGCACAACGATACTGCTTTACAATAAGTAAAATCTCTTCTTCGACAACTTAGAAGAGCAAAAAGCTTAAGAAATTGAGTCAAAATATTAATAGTTTTCTGGCATATAGGGAAGGCTATTAAAACTAAAACTGAATCACTAACTGAAAAAACTCAATGTATGAACCTTCTCTCACCATACTACTGAAAAGTAGTTGTACAAATATATTACTTATATAAATTAATTGGAATAGACCAAATCATTTAAATTAAGCATACAACTATAGGAATGCTCTCTTGTATTAATCGTGAATAATACCAATAGCTTGTACAGGAAGCTAGTACTATCACAGGAGCTCGGATGTTAAAGAAGGAAGTTGTTAGTGATAATTCGTTTGCGTTACTAAATGACTGCGCTAACTAATGTTACTAATGATCACCAGAAAAATCATAATCATCATTTTCACCAATTTCACTGCTATCACGGTTATCATTGTGATATTTATTTTCTTTATTATCATGTTTATCATTATTTTATTACTATATTTATTTTCATAGTTTATATTTACTTTCATTATTATATTTATTATCTCTATCTTACAATTGTATTTTATATAAATATCCTGTATTATCACTTTGACAAACTAACAAATTTTAATTGTACAATTAATAAAGTATAATCTTAACAATATAAAAACTATATCTTTGTCAATATTTATTTTCTTAAAACATAAATCATTAATAAAGATGACCTGATCCTTCAACTTAATAAATTTGTGTTTATTTCTTTTATAGTTTACAACTTAAACTCCTTATTAGTAAATAAGCTTTGTTATCCTAACGATGTAATATTTAGGCTTATTAGCGTAATCATCTAATTTAGTAATATTGAGCATTAAGTTGCTAACGTTACTTTTTCTGTCAAATAAGTTAACTATGATTTGAAGTCAGTGAGGCAATAGCTATGACTTAAATCCATTCAACTTGATACGCTGTTTATTAGAGTTTATTTAGTTAACAAGAAATAAATTATAAGTTTTTTAGTTTGCAAAATATTAAATGTGTTTATTATTGTTAAATGTATATTAAATATAATGTTAAGAACTTGTTGGAATCTGTTTTGAATCTCTCCTTTTTTCAAGGCATTTTCATGTCCTTTATATAGGAAAATTACAATTAAGAAAATCTATGATAAATAAGAGACTACTGACAATAATAACAGAACTAACAGATATGCTAAGTATGTTAAAATATAATATAAATGATAATAAAAATATAAATAATAGAAATATAATAAATATTATGTATGTTCTATTTAGCAAATTTGGCAGATTTGTCTTATACGATTGTTCTGTCAGTTTCTGCCAGTTTCAACGTCAATTTTAAACAGATTTTTATTTATAAATTTCTATATAATAATTATCATCCAATGTGATATAATGAATTTTTGTTTATTTTTCTACAAGAAAATAATTCTTACGGTCTTGAGAATTTTTTATAGCCACTTCTTTTAATTATAAATATTTGTTCAAGAATTCCTTCTATTTTCTTCAAAATTTTCTTTTCTTCTAAAATTATTACAAAATTTTAAACTCCTTAAAATATTTTAACTTTATTATAGTTTGAGTAAACAAGAAAAAGTTTACTTCTACTTATCACAAAGCTTTAGTTTATCAAAAAAAATATCATAGCAAAAGAGGTTCCTAAGATAAGATGTGTATCTTAAGAATATAATCAGACATGATGATTGAGACTATATAGAATGCATCTCTTATAACTCATTCTGATAGACTAATATATGTGACTCATCTCTTGTCTAAGAAGTATAATAGTATATTCGATCTTATTTAATATAACTGCAATATATTAACGTATTTGCCTACTTTCTCATACTATACTGTAGGTTCTTAAAACATGAGTTTTTTTTATTTAGAACTGGTTATTATAGCCTGTATTATCCTATATCGATATGTAGCCTTTTGAAATATCATTAGGTTCATTAAGCTAATCTTTTAGTTAATTGATACTTACTGGTCGAAGATATCTAACTTTATATTTCTAATATGTATTCTTTCTCTATTTAGGCTACAGGTTCTTATCAAGCAGTTAAAGAAATTCGTTAAGAAAATTTTATATTTAGAGAGCAATTATTGATTTCTTTAAATCAAAATGCTGAATTTTCTGCTAAATGTGAACATTTAAGAACTGAATTCACTAATATTTATTCTCTTTTAGTTTAACAAGAAAATGGAATTCATTTACTTAAAGAAATATATAGAAAAGTTATTCATTCTTCAAGAAGTGAATCGTCTAGAAAATAGAATTAAATTATCAAGTTGAGTAATAATTATATTTCTGATCTTTTATACATTATATTATACTTTTATTTTCTTCTATTTCATGTATCTTAAAACTTGTATTTCTCAGATTATTCAATAAAATTTTTACACATTATTGCATTTTGCCTTTTTAAATTGTTTAATAGCTGCCAATCATACTGTTAACACTTTTGCTTTTATTTTGTTTCTCATTTTCTGAATAAATTAAAATAATAATTATTATCTCCTTTGCTAATATCATATTATTTGTATAGTTAACTATAGATACTTAATTAGTCTATTAGCTAACTTTTAATTAATTAATTAAATCTATTTACATAGATCCTTTGATAGATTATCTTACCATCTGAGACATCCTAAACTATTATTTACTTTATTCATAAGCTAAGTAATAAACTTTTTCAAAAATTCTAATATCTCTTATGCTTTCATCTATAAGCTTAGCAATAATCCTCACTTCTTATCAGGATCAGTAGCAGCTCAAAGCTCTCATTTTTACTTAAGCTTAGTAAAAACCTTATCTATAAAAACTAAAACTAAAATTTTGTCCATTAATTCATAAGTATAATAATTATATAAAATAAAAATAAAATAAAAATAATGTTTCTTCAATTATCTCGCCATCCAGTTGTCAAATTTAATCAAAATATATGTCATTATAATTCTTAAGATTTGATAGTTCTAATGGTCTAAATTTTTTAAAATTCTAATCCGTCAAAGTTGAAATAATAAAATCTGTAACTTTAGTTCTAAATTTATATCTATTATTTCTTTTATCCAATTGAGATTTAGAATTTGGTCAGATAATCTTCAGTGAGTTTTATGTGATCAAAATATTATATAAGCTTTTATAAGGTTAAAGATAATGAGTACTATCCATTAAACCTTTATATAACTTATGTAATCTTAGTTTAACACTTTATCTCCTCTATCTCCTCTCTTAAGCTTCTTTGATATTCTTCTCAGTTGCTTTTAATATCAAATTATATCTACAAACTCATATATTTTCTTATGTTTAAATATTAGCAGAAATCACCACTTTTTTTACTATAGAATTTTTCAACTTGGGTTAGTCATATTACTAAGTCTTTACTTGAGATTACTAACTATAGCTTACTATGGTTAAGATGTTAGAATTTGCTTAACTCTTAACTTTACTAAATCTACAGATTAAACTTAAAGCAAATCTATCAAGTATAAAGACTTAAAAGATGAGATTATGAATAGTTTAATTAAAGAATTCAGATAATGATCTTAATTATAAATAATGTATAAGGATTACATTAGACTATATTAAGATATGAAGAAGTAGAAAGATATAAGTTTTACTTAGTTTCTTTATTAACATTAAAACTTGTATTCACAAGAAAGTTAATTTACAATATAAGTAAAAAGTCTATCTTTTTATATAAAATACAGATATTTATAATCAAAAGAAGTGGTTAAGAAAATTTCTAAAAATTCTCAAGACACTGAAAATTATTTTCTTGCAGAAAAATAAACAAAAATCTATTAGATCACATTGGATAATAATCATTACATAGAAATCTATAAAACAAATACCTGTTTAAATTGGCATAGTTGATCAATATTATCAAATTAGATGATTACACAATATTTGCATAACACATTTTTGATTAACATTTCTTTATTTATTATAAAATTTAAGAAATTTTTGTAAGCTGCATAATTTTAAGAGTTTGCCAAAATGCATACATAAGAATCAAGAAATGTGAAAATGTTAGTTTTACTAAAAAAGAAATTACTTACAATATTTATATAGCTTATATATTAAGAAAAGTTAAATGACATAATCAGTTGATCAAAAGTTAATTTTAGATTTGTGTCTAATAATTTCTCGTAGTAGATTTCTTAAATATTAGATTTTAATGAACTTCCTTGATATAGAAAAAGATTAAGTATATTATAAATGAAGATCAAATTAATATAATCAAGCCACTAAGTATATAGTTTTATTTACAAAATGATCAACATAAACATATAACTCAGCTATAATTATCAGCCCAATCCAGTGAACTACCGGTGAAGAAAAATTCTAAGAAAAAGACCAGTTAAAAATAAAAATCTTAACCATCACCCAGACCACCTAACTGAAGTTAATATCTGACCTTTCTATAAGTTTTTATAAAATAACCACTGCTCCAAAAATGCCTCTTTTTGATAAATGTTTTCAGCTTTCAATGTATTTATTTTTTGCTGTAACAGTTCTTTACGAGTATTTTGATCAGTTATCAGATATGCTAGTCTGTTTGTTATAAGTAATCTCTTTCTTTTTTCTTCTTATGCTTAAGTTTGCAAGGTCACAAACTGATTATGAACTTTATTTTTTTGTTACGAATGAAAAGTTTTTATACGTTTGACTTTTTTTAAGCATTATTTTAAGAGC